TGAAGGGGTTTTCCAGACCACATTGTTCAGAGTCACCGACTGTGGTGTTCACAGAAGCAGTTAGAAACAGAATCAAACAGAGAGCCATAGGACACAAAATGCTCATTAAAACAATTTAACATAGTGGCCCTGTCCGATATAGAGCCAGATGCTGTGGTAAGGCACGGAGGTAGCTCATTACGGATATCACCGGTGGATATCGATTTTATGGCTTTCCAGAATTTTCTAGGGTTGTTCAGGTTGTTTGTAGTAACTGACAGATAATACTTAGATTTAGCACTTTTGATTTGAGATGTAAAGCTATTCCTTAGCTGCCTAAAATGAAGCCATTCTACCTCTGAGCCTGATTTCCTAGCCTTTGCCCAGGACTTGTTTCTCTCATGTAGGAGACTAGACAATTCAGCAGAAAACCAAGGATTGTCTCGTCCCTTCACTCTAAATGTACGCAGGGGTGCATGTCTATCTATAATTTCCATAAAACCAAGATGAAAATAAGACCATGCAGTCTCAACATCAGCACACAGATCGTTTTTTTCCCAATCAAAACCAGACAGATCATGAACAAAACCCTGCTCCACAAATGTTTAGTGTCTCTCTTTATGATAATACGAGGTTTACCCTTTTGGGCTTTTGTGTCCCTAATTGTGGCTACAACACAGTGGTCACTCACATCGTTAGCAAATACTCCCACAGATGAGTATTTATGGGGCACATTAGTTAAGATGAGATCAATTAAGGAGGATTTATTTGGGAACTTAATGTTAGGGCGAGTAGGACTGTCTACAATCTGAGTTACATTCAAAGAGATACAAAGGTTTTTAAAATCCTCTGACACAGAAGTTAACCAGTCCCAATTAAAATCACCAAGCAGCACTATTTCCTTGTAGTCAAGTTGAGATAAAAGTTTTGCCAATGAAGATAAAGAGTCCTTGACAGCTGAGGGGGGTCTGTAGCAGCCCACCACCATGACCTGTTGACCCTTTGCTACTTCGATATTTAAGGCTAAAAATTCTAGTTGTTTACTGATTGATTTGGAAACCATCTTGGTTACACAAAACTTATTTTTCACATAAATGGCAACGCCACCACCTTTTTTAGGACGGTCGGTACGATATACACTATAACCATTTAAGTAGATGTCAGAGGTCAAAATAGATTTATTTAGCCACGTTTCTGAAGACAATGACATCAGCGTCAGTTGAGCTCGCCCAAAAGCAGACAAAATCTAACTTAGGTAACAGACTGCGCACATTTAAGTGAATGAATCCCAACCCAGACCTAGAATTAAAATCAGCAGGAGTAGCTATCTGACTACTACTACTGGGCGGTCCAGGGTTAAGTTGTACATTCCCTGATAGCAATAATAACAAGAAAACCAGGCACCTTTTCCTCTTAATCGACACACATACATTGTCATCTGCTTTAAAATCACCAGCAAACTCTGCGAAAGTGAGATTTGAGCTCAAGAAGCAGTCCTGAACAACCATCATAGCAGGCAAGTGAGAAAGACAAACATAATTTGTCGAACTGAATGTCTGTGACAAGGCAACCAGTAATTGTTTGTGTAACACATCCGAACCTTTACAGGGGATGTCCACTGCGGGCGGCAGAACAGACCTGAATCCAGTCGACTTCTCAGGATGACGAGAGAACTTCTCATTGTCCAAAATAGCTAACAGGCATAGCAGAATCACGATAGGGGCCATTTTCCCAGACCAGCACAGCATCCGTATAGGCACGCAAGCAGGCCCGAAACGTGGAGGCGCTCCGGTCTCTCCGCGATATCCCCGGTGCAAATCCTCCTCAGCACAGCAGTATAGGATAGGCGAAGCAGGCCCAGCTCGAGACGTAGAGGCGCTCCGGTCTCTCCGCTATGTCCCCGGTGAAGATCCTCCTCACCACAGCAGTATAGGATAGGCGAAGCAGGTGCAGCCTGAAACGTAGAGGCGCTCCGGTCTTTCCGCGATATCCCCGTGGTAAAACCTCCTCGGCACCGTAGAGCACGACAGGTGGAGCAGGTGGATACAGGCCTCCGCTACAGCAGGTGTAAAGCAGGCCGCAGCCCGAACGCGGAGCCGCTCCGGCCTCTCCGTTACGTCCCCGGGGCAAAATCTCGCCAGCACAGCCGCACACAACAAGTGGAAGCAGGTCCCCGCCACAGCACAAACTGGACAGGTGGAAAAGGAGGCCCCAGCCCGAGCAACAACGTGCAGCCGCTCCGTCTCTCCGCGACTTCCCCGGGGCAAAAACCTCCCCAATTTGACTTCTTTCTTGTATGAAGAAAGATCTGGACAAATTTAACATGGGCGTCTATTCAGAATCAGAATACCTTTATTCGTCCCACAGAGGGGACATTTACAATTGATTTATTTATTGGGCAGCTTGGTGCACTTTTTGTCACTCAGATCACTATTGGGCAGAACAGTGCGTCAGTTTTATATGATGAAGGGAATTGAGCAGGCCAGACTAATAATAACACACTCTAGCTCTGAAGAGTCCGTCCCATAGATACGCATTGTAACATTGGAATCTTTTTTTTTTATTAAAAAAAAAGTTTAGAAAACATTTAAAGGGGACCTATCATGCAAAATACACTTTTGTACGTCTTTTATACATGAATATGTGTCCCCGGTGTTCCAGGGAACTCACCAAGTGTCAGAAAACACAACCCTCTCTATTTTCCTCCATACCCAAATCTCAAAAAACAGGGCTGCAACGGATCTGATAAAAACTGATCCAGATTTGAACACTTTACTGACGTCAGGACGGTGGCGCTACGGCTATTGGGCCAACTGTCCACCTATCAGGGGAATGTGGGGTTGGGCCACGGCCGGCCATTGCCGCTCGAAAGCGCTGGAGACGCTGTAGTACATATGCCAGGCCTGTAAGTGGCGCTGTAGTCTGCCACAAAAGCAGCGAAGAAGACTTCCCGCGCATGGTTGCCCTTCTGTTTATTCTCCGCTGTGGGTCTTTTTCTCCCTCCCTGAGGCAAGCGTTTGCTCCCGCTGCTGTAATTCAATGCAATCCCTCCCCGTCGAGGCAAGCACTGTAATGGCGCGTTTCCACTACAGCGCGGAGCACGGTTTAAGAGGGCTGTGACGTCAGCGGCCCGTTTTTGGTTGCGTTTCCACTTGGCCTAGTACCGGCCGGCGGGTCCTAATTCACAGTTTTTCTGGCCTCATAAAATCGTGGGTCTAGGGCCAGAGACAACGAGGCTGAGTCGGGCTGAGTATGCTAAACTAGAGAGAGAATCGCTGGCAAGGGGGCTACAACTACAACAAGATGGACATATTTGACCGTGATTTAATTGTAATACACGTTTCAAAATGATGCCGAAGTAACAACATACTGATACCGGTTAGTAAAAACCATGAATTAATGCTTTGACAAGTCTGCAGACAGACGGCAGGCGAAAAACCTTTTAAAATGCGTGTTTTCTAAATGGAGATTGGCTAAGCTAACGCAGTATATGCTCCGACCGTCCACACTCACAACAACGGCCTATACACACATAAATAAAGCAGCGACTGTATTCGCCATGACACAGGCAGTCTGTGGTTTGTACTTGTTTAACTTTTGTCTAGTTTCTGAACATATATGAGGAGCTGTGAGCTCTGAGTGCTAACAGCTAACGGCTGTGTTGTTTTTCTGGGGTTCTCATTGAAGATGACGTCACGGCTCCGCCTACACTGCGTTACTATAGATACTACCCCAGTTCCTAAACTGTAATGGAAATGCGCCATAAAGTGAGCCAGTCCTAACGAGGCCTAGCCATACCGAGCGAGGCCGAGCGAGGCCGTGTAGTGGAAATGCGCCATAATTCTCTCCGGTTAGTCCACCAGCAGATGACAAACACCCACCTCTCCGCCTCTTCCAAGGAACGAGGGGACCGTGCGGCAGAGTTTCAGTTAGGTTTTCTTTCGCCGGTCAAGATGTCCGTTAAAGTTTAAATCTTCCGGACAAAATTAGAAAAGTGCCGGTCAAAGGTCTTCTTTGTTATTTATTGAGCTTTAAAACAAATTAATAACGACTCTATATAATAATATAATAAAACACGGAGGACGGAGATCTATTTTTCTCCCCCTCTTCTGACAGCCCAGCAGCTGATCAGAGCACCTCTCCTGCAGGGGGGCGTGGTCAGCTGCAGCTCACAGAATCAGCCCCCTGCAAAAACATGGCTGGAAAGAGCATGCGAAATGAGGCATGGCTAAAATGCAGGATCTGTTTGGTATTTTGAAAAAAAAAAAAAATGATATTGATATACTTTATATAGGTATGGGGTATGGCCCTACAATATATATTGTTCAAATATAGCATGATAGGTCCACTTTAAAGTGTCCCATCATGTGCTGAACAGGCTGAATATTTTTTTATTTGAATGGTTTCTGTAGCTGAAAGTAGGCTGAAGTTATTCAACGGCACAAAATTGGGTGAAATAAGAAGATTAAAGAAAAGAAGAACAATAGTGTGAATGCTGTTGAACAGCATTCACACTAAATAAGAAGTTGAAGAATAAAGATTTGAAGAGCAATAGTGGGGAAACTGTTGAACAGCATTCACACTAATAAAGATTGCAAAGTGTTTTTCTCCCCTTGTTATTTATCAGAGCTATAAAATACAACTTTTTATATTGCTAATAAATCAATTAAAGCAGTATGTATGCATTTGACTTTGAGCCAGAAGTAGAGTTTCATTTAACTCTCTTGGTATGCAGTGTGTTCACTTCACACAGGAGATTACAGATTATTTTCGTATGCTAAAATTCAGATCATGTAAAAGTCAAAGTTCACAGAAATACTCCACCGACATCCACCATGTCTCATTGATACCCCACCCCCCCAGGGGTCGCACGGTATTGCGCAACCACAGCGGTAGTGCGGAAAGATTTAGGAAGAAAGTTACATCATGCAGATGATGAAACAACATTAAAACGAGTTGGTCATTCGCTACTGAATAAATGATATTAACGGAGGTAATAAAGTCCAAATTGACTTCCTCACCTTCGTCTGTGAAGCGAAAACTGCGCAGGAACAGCAGACAGTCTTGCAGCCCGGCGAACAGCGTGAAGCCTCCGCCGAAAGGGTTGTTCCTGAAGAAGAGCTCGAACACGGCGGGCTCCTGGTGCCGCCCGGTCCGCCAGTACGCGTACGCCATGGTTACCTGGTACAGGTCGGTGAGCAGAGGGGGGACCCGCTCCCGGATAGAGCGCTCCGTGAGCCCGCATGTGTTGCTGGACGGCGCTGCCATGTTATTGAAGCCCCGGCTGGAGGTTCACTGATGCGGGGATCTCTGGGACTTGCAGTTTTTCAAGACTCCTTCTCTAGAAAACAGCCCGCGGGAAAGGAGCGGGTGTGTTGTTAGAGCAACACTGCTGTCATTCCAGTTTTGACAGGCACCTTTACGTAAACACTATTTAATTAGACTGTGTGCAGTTAATAATGTAATGTGTCTTAAAAGAGCGTTTCCCGAAAAGCACGTGCCTATAAGCAAGAAACAAAGTTCGTTCAGGTCACGTCTTATGCGTTTACACAACATGTATATGTACATGTACAATATTTATATAATTTACTTTTCTTATTTGTTTGACCTTTTCCAGAGACAGTTCATCATGACGAAATACATATATAATATATAAAAATGTAAAAGTACAAATATAAATTGTACTTTAGTATCAAAAACAAGAAACTCCAAATAATTGTCTGCTTTAGAAAAGTGTAGGGAAGTTAAAGCATGGCTACAACAGAATAAAAGGGAAATCACAATTGTATTGCAAGTACCTTAGGATTCCAAACAATTGATTAAAGGTTTTTTGTTACTTTCAGGGTCGGCTGGCAAAATCTGCAGAAGCACTTTCAGTTCAAATATTTGTTGTCAAGGATTCAAATTAAACATGACATGTAAGGTTCATTCAGTAGTTTTTATTGTTTTTCAAAAATATTAAATACTATTTCTAAGCAACTGCAACACTGTATACAATCTTTATATTATTTATTAAATCCAATACTGTATTAAGTATTAGTATTTTATAAAAATGATATATTATATGTTATATCCATGTAGGATAAGCATTCATCAGGGGTTTTTCTGTTGTTTTTTTAAGTTAGATGTATAATCATCTGTACTCTATATGCGAGGTTACCTTTCTTAAATCTTTCTTAAGAGGATAATGACTGTCAAACACAACATAACAAATTGAGGATGAATAGGTTTGAGATGATTGACAGGTGCCACAACCTATAAGCAAGCCTCTGATTTTTTAATTGTGAAATACTGAATATTTATACCACTTCAAAACGATAAATATAATTCCCATTAATCTCTCAAACCGCATACAGTAGTGTTGGAAAACACATCAGCTCAGACTTCAAACAGTAACGGTCACATTGTGATCCCCACTGTGAGGACGTAGTCGTCTCCAGTTGCCCGTATGGGACCCTGACGGCTGATCTGGACAGCATTTCAAAATGTAATGCACACCTTTGACTAATTTGGTCATTATCCCAGCTCATCCTGCTCTCCACTGCCCTTCTCCACAGTTGGGAAGCATCCTGCGAGCTCATTGGTTAATGTGTGCTTCTGTCTACCCCAGAGAAAGTGCGTTGGCTGTCCTGATTCGCTGTGCTCCGATGCATAAACAAAAAATGGGCTGAGCTCAATTGCCAGAGCAGACCGGACCAGGCCGACCCCCCCATCACGCTCTGAGCAGGGGTGGTAGAGTCGTCCGCTGACAGGGTGCATGTACAGTGTCTCTGGGCGGAACGGGGCAGACAGCTTATCCGCGCCACCGCAGAATGACAGCAGCTCCTGATCTCCAGGGACTCCCGGGGCCCCCGCAGGACTCTGCAGCAGGTGGGTGAAGACCACCGGGCGGTCGTCGCAGCGCACAAAGTTCCTCTCCCTGCCACACAGGGACAAGAAGGGGAAGTCCTCCTCGTAACGACCACTCTGATTTGAACGCAGACGACTAAAGAAGAACACCAGGAACTTTACGTCTGGAAGTAAAAAAACAGGGATGAGTGTTGCTCTAAAAAAAAAAGGTCACATATATTACATGAAATATATTGAAGGCATCAGCACTGGTTTCACACGTAAACTTGCAGTCATTTGTTTAGCAAATATTTAGGAATATGCATCACTAAAACTCAACATTCCCTGACATCAGAACGGCTTTAAGGTGGGTCCTGCATGATCCAAGCTTGAGTGACTTTGTAATATTCAGTTTTTCTTATTTTAACAAATGTCATTAAACAATTAAGGCCAACATTAAACCAATCATTGCACTAGATGTTTCTTTCTTTAACATGATCACCCACACACTAGTTTATTTTAACCAAATCATACAAACACTTTTCTGCTGCTACAAATATACCCACTACAGTATCAAATGTGGATTCATCTGGTGCTCAAAATAGTCCCCAACTAATGATCCTCTAATTTCTTTGCTCAAAACTACAGGGAGGAGTTGTGTGTTTGTTACAGAATATTTATGAGCTGTTTTAAGGATTCAGGTCCTCTGTAAGAACCAATGGGTTAAGGTTTAGAGCTGGAGGCCACACACAGGGTACACATTGTGGTTTTAGTCTTCCGATTGAATTTGTTCACATTAATACAATAAAAAAACACATTGAAAACTGCTTCTATTGAGATTGTCATGTTATTAAAAACCTGAAAAAAAAGAATTGTAATTGTGATTACATGTTGAATATTCCTCAAAAGTGATCACATTTTATTGGTTCTATTCTTATTTTTCTCAAACTAACATGCAGAAGAACTAATGCTAACTACTTCATATTTACCTGTGGCAAACATGCACATTATCTACCTTATGTGCAAACTGTCAGACTGTTTTACACTGACATTAAAATATATTTGGTGGAACCATATGGGGAGATTGATTAGTTCAAGGGTAAGGATGCATTTGGGCAAACTTCCAAGCTTCAATCTCTTTATGGGCTGTGTTTATTTTTTACCTTTGAAGCAGGTGACAAAGTTCTTCACTTTAGTTTCATCGAGGAAAAGCTGTGGAGTGGAGCACACACAGAACTGTCATGCTAGCAGGACAATATATTGCATTCAAGTTTTTTTAAGGTTGTGTTTTGTGTCAGTTTACCCACCTGTCCTTGGTGGTCAATATAGTAGAAGTATTCTCTGATACGTGGTTCCGGGCTCTGGCCCTGGATGTATGTAGCGGTGGTTCTGGAGGCGGTGAAGCCGGTAGGCATGCAGCGCAGACCTGTCAGACCTCTGCAGCTGAGGGCAGCCCTCCGGAGGAACAGCATGACCGCACGGAGGCTTAATGTGTTTCCAGAAAACAATAGGACCACTACCTTGTTGGCAAAAGTTGCACAATTCTAGTTTTTCAGCCACAAAATAGAAACGTGTGTCAGTGGTTTTGCCCTCAAGTTATTGTTTACCTACCAGAGCCACAACCCGGAAGTATTTCAGTGTCACAACATCCTCGGTTTTTGACTGCTGCCGCCCAGTGGAAATTCATTGTATTTTGTTGTAAATAATTTAAAACCATATAAAGTCCGATACATGGTGTAAAAAAAAATCGAGCAGGATTATAAACAAAAATATTAATCTAAACAATTTTACTTTGGACAATAATTTAGAATCAGGAATTTGTGAGGCTATTTTGCTAGTCAATGCTCATATATTATTGTTGTTAAACTATTTTAGTATGTCCAAGAGATTCCCTTTTATTTCTACTGTTCAACAAAACTGACACTTTTATGGCACAAAAAAGGTGCACTAATCAAAGAACTAAAGTGCTTGTTTGGAACCAGGGATTCAATTATTCTTAATATTAAACAGACTTGGATGTCTGTCCTAAATGTGAATCCTGTTTCAACAACCCCTGTCTTCCAAACTCTTTATGGATTAATGTATTACTTGTTTTGTCTTTAAATTGTATTCATTTGACACAGCCAGAGGGGATGTATTTTATTTAACAGTCAGAAAACTATATTTTCAGTATACTAATTATTACTATCATATCTACTATCATCGACCCACATTAGTGTCATTACTTAATCTGGCCTGCATGCTGTTTGAATATACTAGGCTGAATACTACTAATCACAAGACACCAACGTCACTTTTCCTAACTACTGTTGTATGCTTTATATATTTTTTACATTTCTTTAAGTTTTATATAATGCTCCCTCTTATAATTGATTTCCCCCCCTTTAACTTTAGGCCAACCTATATTTGCTTCTACAGCAACATTTTCTTTATCTGTAACTTTAGCTAATATAACTGAAAAATAACATAAATCCTCACATTGGAGAAGCTGCAACTAGTAAATGTTGGTCATTTTTGGTTGATATGACTAAAAGAAATGTAGGCTATCTGGCTTTCGCTTTATCGACTACTTGCATTGTTGGTTTTCAGCAAGCCAGCCACTTAGAAAATATGAGTTCATGAGCAATAAACAGTGTGAGCTGAGCAGCCTACATATTGTATAATAACTTGGGAATGTGTGATTCCAAGCAGGGAGTATGCTAATGATGGAGCGAACACAGCACTCTTTGGGGAGCTGCATGTAAATCTCTTTGCTAATAAAAGAAATCCAACATTCCTCCCCAACAGACAGAGGCTGCTCTCCCACACCCCTAAAACAGAACTATAAACAGAGGCTTCTTCTTCAGCTGACAGCACACAAAGCGGCTGATTCAGAAGAGCTGGTGGTAATGCCTTCATCCAAAAAACCCTTATTTGTGAATTTCTAGCTGTGTAAATCTCATCTGAACCTGTAGCTTCTCTTCCGCCTTCCTCCTCCTCCTCCTCCTCCTCTTCCTCCTCCCCCTCCAGGTAGGGTGGGGAGCTGTATACCTGCGGAGTAATTTGAAAAATGGCGTCATAGTTGGACTTTACAGTGCTTTTGTCGACATATATTCACAGTAAGTAATATCTTTCACAGTTGGGTCGACTTAAGACTTTATAACATACACGTTTGTCAGCTAATTAAGTAAAACGAAGCCTTTTAGAAGCTACGGAGCCATGTTTTATTTTAATTGTTTTACCACCTGTGAAACCTGCTTCACCGTTGCCTGACATTAGCTTAAGTCCTCGTAAACAACAGTTGTGTTTGTTTGTTTGTTTCAGTTATAAATACACGTTGATAACGATTAGAGCACTATGTCCAGTAGCCTATGGTTAAACGAAAGCTTACATTGTTTGACGTTTATAGCGTAACCGAATGTCAACGGTCGAAATTAATGTAGCCTAAATAACAAAAATATTCTTCATTAAAATCACTTTTCTTGAATAATTGTTCATGTTTATAGTAGCCTAGCCTGTAGGCCTACAGTGTGTTTATTGTTCAAAGGTCATTTATGTGTCCAATTGTTCGGTTTCGGTCAGCAGGTATGAGCCAGCCGCCGCGCTCGAACCGGGGACACCGGGAGAGAAACGGAGAGCACCGGGAGAGAAACGGAGAGCACCGGGAGAGAAACGGAGAGCACCGAAACTACCGGGACTCCAACGATGACGGGTGCGTTCAATGTACTTCATTAAATACCATAAAACCCTCTGCTTTACCTGTAATATTACATTTGATAGTAGGCCTACCTATGTCCAGTGGTGGAAAGTAACTAAGTAGCCTACTGTACTTTATTTGAGGTTGGCCTACTTGTAGCCTACTTTACTCCAGTATTTTCATTTTACACTACTTTAAACTTCTACTCTACTACTTTTTTGAAGCCAATTTAATCCACAATATTTATTTCACAGATTTAATCTCTAGTAATTTTATAAATTCAGATTTTAACACACAATATTTAATTAAACCTTTTTAAAATATGATTATTTGGTTTCACCATCCAACATTATATGTGAGGGTGTGAGGCGTAACAGAGACATTTTTTGTTTCACAGATCCAACTTTTTAAATGTGAAGATTTGCTCCTTTTGCTTTAAAATATAAAAATATTTCAGATTTGTTTTTACTCAAGTAAAGAACCTGAATACTTTGTCCACCACTGCCTACGTCAAGAGTTCATCAAATTCGTTTTTTAATACATATATTCTTCTGTTTTTTTTGTTTACTAATATATAGTTAATTCTAGTTTAACCTACACAAGCCCAACCCAACACCATTAACATGGGCCACAGTGTTTTATTATTATTAATTTACAGGAATTATTCTGTATTATATATGCAGACAATATTCTCAGATGCTATGCAACCGTATTTCATTGCATCTAGTTTATTTAGGCGTTATAATTCCAAGATGTAAACAAGCTAAAATCATTACTGGTGTCATCATGTATGTGTTTCTGTGCTTCAGGTCTTCCTCCAGACCCCCATACTACCCCAGAGAGACCGACCCCCCTCCCAAACATGTGCGGGAACGGGAAGCCCCTCGAGAGGAGCACCACGAGTCCAAATGCTCCCACATTTGCTCCAGGAGAGGTACGTAAGGATCACAGTGGGTTGAATATAAAATGAAAGCTCTGTCTGCTGCGTCACAGGGCGGACTTTGGTTTCAGTCTCATTGCGGCACAGTCTTAATTCTTCCTTCTGTGAATACTGGACGGACCTGTTTCTGCTGTTTACAGGCCTCTTTTTACTGAGTTTACACTTTGCAGGGCTAACTTTAACAAAGGACATATTGGATTACCTGGTACCTTGGTCTAAATGTTTTCATGTACTTCATGTAAAAGACGAGTTAATCCTCTAGGAATGTGAAAAACAATGATCTACCCACCCTATTCGTCAATTATTATTACAAAATGATATATATTGGTATTGTTGGTCAGGCAACACTACATTTGAAGGCATCACCTTGGGTTCTGGGAACTTTGGAAAGTATTTTCCAATTATTTTTTATATTTTTTTCAGATGGAAGGCTAAATTAATTGAAGTTAAAAAGCAGCAAATATTATTATTATGATTATTTGAAACCCTACATATATACACACGTGTGATACATCACACACTGTATCCTCACAATTATTTGTTTCTGTATCACAAACAAACACTAATATGATAATAATATAAGATAAGTACATTTGATCTTATCTTATAATGTAAACTGCAACATGACTGGTTGGCAAGCATATAACTCGAAAATGCATTTCCTGCTGAAAATGCGTGTGAATGCTGTAAGGCAAGCTGTGTACATGTGTTGCTGAATGTAGCTGAAAATGAAGAAAAAGCTGAATATGTTATTAGTTGAATGGTCTCTGTAGCTGCTTTTAGCTACAGAAACCAAGTAAGCGTGTTGCTGAACTTAGCGGAGAAATGCAGAAAGTGAAATTATTTGAATCAAAATGATTACAGCTCAAATTGAGAGTGAAATGTTACTGGAAGAGTAGGAAAAATAGTGATGAAGCTTAATACTTCAAAGAAAAGTAAAAAAAGGTATAAACAACAAACTGTATAGCCCCAATGTCCTGAAATAGCTGAATAATGTAATAGCTGAATGGTTTCTGTAGCTGAAAGTATGCTGAAGTAGTTAGCGGACAAAGTTTGGTTGAAATAAGAAGAAGTTGAAGAATAAAGATTTGAAGAACAATAGTGGAATCCTGTTGAACAGCACTCGCATTAATTATTGCTCTTTATTGCATAGCCTTCTCACGAATCCCTACAAACGACTTGTTCTGATGTTGTGACCCCCTTCCTCACCTGTCTCACGTGTTGACCCCCCTCCAGGCATCATGCTGATCTGTGCCGTCCTCACCAACAGCCTGGTTCTGATCTGCCTGGTTGCAGCCCACATGGTGTCCTCGGGCATGTCCTCGGGGGGCGGGCTGGGGGGCTTCGACATGAACAGCAACTTCAACCTGCAGGGCACGGAGCTGCAGAAGGCGCGGGAGCTGGACATGCAGTACAGCCTGATGAGGGCGCCGGGCCTCTACGGGGGGATCCCCTTCTGCCTCACCCTCGGGGTCCTCTCGCTGCTGTTCGTGGTGGCCGGGAACAAACCCCCCCACCACATGTCCCGGAAGCTTCTGTACGGAGCACTGGTGTTCCAGGCGGTGGGAGCGGTGGCCTACGTGGTGGCCGTGGGGCTCTACCTGCACTTCATCATCAAGGTGAACGCCACTGATGTGTGTCAGCAGCGCGCCAGGATTTACGGAGGGAGGGGCTACACCTGGATGAACTGCGATGTGGGCGGGGCCGACGCAGCCGTGGCTCTGTTCGGGCTCATCACGGCCATTCTGTACGGCGTCGGCACCGTGCTCACCTTCCAGACCATCCGGAGGGTGAGGCGCTACCTGGAGGAGAGGAAGCGCAGAGAGGAGGAGAAGCAGCAGGCCAGAGCCAACGCACAGAGAGCGCCGCTGAGGGCCGACACCACCTCTGTGTGAGGGGCAGAGAAGGACCACGGGGGTCTGGATCACAGATAGTTCTGGTATCATGAAGCTGGCTCACTTGACTGGGGTATATCACTGTGGAAACCTACTCTGCTC